GCTGGACTCGAACCGCTGAAGCGTCAGCCATTTCTGGCCAGCAACTTTCAGCGTCATTAAGCCGCTGCGCCACTGCGTCCCCCAGGGTGCCATGACTAAAGAGTGATAATTCCTCACTTCCATCTTCATCCTGTATGGCTATTCATGAAAAAAATCAAAGATACAGCCTAACCGTGATTACAGGAAGAGATAAAAGATGGTTGGCATTCCATCTTCCTTTTTTAAGTTATAAACTGACAGAAATAAGCTCTACTGAATTCAGGGAGCAAGAATTGCTCCCAGGTAAATTGCATTTGAATTATAAGTTAAGGATTACAGTCAAATTCAGACCCCTTAGCTAACTGGATAAAAACAAAAGAAACCACAATGCAAGCCACATGCATGATAGTTTTAGAAAATGGAGATGGTAGCATCAAATATTTGATAATGCCATGAAGCAACTGAAATCTTAAAACAAAAAAATTAAAATAGCCTTTGGGTAAAGTATTCAGTTTTAACACTGGCTTAGTTAATTAAGGCTGCATTTGCATGCAGACATACTCAGAAGAATCTGAGCTTTACTAGGAATCCAACAACCTTCTTAGCAGTGTCATTTTCTTTTAATTTGGTAATTAGCAGAGCAATGACTTACATTTCCCACAAAATATGGCAGGGCTTTGGTTAAAGCAAGCTTGGGCATATTTCTGGGCTTTATCTGCCTTTGTTCCTGAGAACAAGGGCAATTTTATCAGTGAAAATAATAGAAAACAGGATGTGTACAGCACTTTTAATATGAGAATCCTTATGTGCTTGCTCAATCAATTTATCTATTTTGATTGACTAGCTTGTCGGGGCCTCTTCACATGTGAAAGAAGGAAACCGTGGGAAAGTTGGACCCATGAATTTAATCTAGGTACACACGCTAATGGGCTATGATTGTTAGGAAGCTCTCAAAGTGTTTCCATAATCCAGAAGTAAAAAATTCAGAAGATACAACCATGCATCTCACTCCCCTTGTGTTTTCTTATACTGTATACATGTATACTCGTGTAAAATTATTCTTGTTTACACTGAAATTGCATTCTTATTGGATTATAAACATGACATTCAGGGGATAGCATTTCCAATTTTTCAAAATGTATGCTTAGCGAATGCCCTTGAAGCTATGATAGCAAAGCTTACAACAGAGAATTGGGTTATAATATCCTATTGTTCATCTTTGCTATAAATACACAACTATAATAAAAAATTATTTCTTTAAAAACATCTTTCAATCCCATGTCCAGCTCGTACATGTATCTTTCTCCCAGAGCAACTTGATATCAAGTCTGCTACAGAATCAGACTGAGAGGATGCTGGATTTAGCAATATAAACCTTATGTCCCTTTTTATATGCAGTCCAAGTGGTATTGCCTGAGCATTACTGATTATATAGCTCGATGGTGCTTATGGTTTTCAGTTATTGCCAGTAGACATACAACTTCATGGGATAGGAGCATTAACTTACAGCATCTGTTTTTAACATTACACACCAAGTTTCATTTGCTCTTCCTTCTTCTGTTTTAGCTACCAATCTCAAGCTATATATCTCTTTCCATGCAAATATCCAAAGGAGGAATTTACATTAGAAATGAGACACAGTTTCTGGAGTGACAGCCTGAAGTAGTTTAGAACAAGAACAATGAAAACAGAGATGGATGGGTAACATGATGCTCAAAGGGCTTCATCAAAATAACCTTTGAGGAACATTAGGATTCTTAATTCTCCCCACATTCACTGCTCTTGATCCAGAAGTTTAGTAAAATCCAGGATACTTGCAAGACATTCAGTTTCTTCCAGGTAGGGATGATCACCATTTTTTTGTTCTGATGATGCCTCTTAAATCAACCCATATAAAAAAGAAGCATAAATAAATAAGCGCACTAAAAAAGAGCCCCTTCTTTTCAACCATAGCCTTAACTGTTTCTCTGTAAAATAAATAGATTTGGAAAGCAAGAAGGAGCAACGAACGTCTGCAGTTGCTATGAAGGACATCAAGATCCAGCTGAACTGCAGATAGTGGTTCAAGATGAAACAGGTTACAGTTCATGGTAAAGCGGCGGTGGCATTGAACACAGTTGGCACAATCAGTTCCAAGAGGGATTCATATGTCCCCACAACAAACCCAGTAAAACCAAGGAGGCTGATGAGGATATCTTTGGTTATGATGAGCGGGTGCATGCCTTCTGAATAATAGGTGAAGATCTCCAAGATGGGTGGGATAATAAGTGCTAGAGCGCTGCTGCTTACTGAGCCTACCAGAGCTATGACAATGTCCAAGCGAGGAATCAGTATTGCAAGTGCACCTGAGGGGTAGAAAAGGAGAAAACAAACACTTTGTCAGGGAAGATGCCTACTGAAGAGCAAGCAGCTGCAGTAGTTTGCCACTGTTTACTGCCAACTTCAAATGAAATAAACATTATTTTAATTTCAGAGTATGTTTTTAGTCTGTAATGAACTCTTCTGGCAAAATAGAAGGGGACATGAACTTAACAGGTGCATTGAATCATGACAAAACGTGCCGTCAATATGTACCCTTAAAGTTCAGAGATGGAATTTTTAAACAACTCTAAATGAATCCTTACATCCAGCAACAATATTATGTATTCCAAATATATGTACTATTGCACTAGGCCAGGGGTCCCCAAATGTTTTGAGGTGATGAATGTCTTTGGAATTCTGAGAACATGACCTGTGCCCCCTGTGGGGTGACTTTCCATTCATACGATGGCTTCCATACTGGTCATGTCACATCACTACTAGCAACCTAAGAGGATTCTTCATACATCCTTTTTAGCACCCAAGACACTGCCAATCAATCTTGCAGCTTACTTTTACCTTTGGGGTTGTGGGGAGGTGTGTCTATCACCAAACAAAACTGTTGGTGAACTGCACTTACCCTCAATTTTTATTTTCTGCAGAGCCCAGTAACTTTCTTAGCAACAGCAATTATCCTGGATGCTGATGTTTTGCAGCATGCTGCTTCCCAATAAATTAAAGTGTGTGTGTGTGTTTGAAGTAAGCTAGCTGAGACAAGGACCCAGCATTAAGCAGCAGAGGAATAAGACATTGTGACTTTGCAGTGAAAGTCCTATATATATTTACTGCAATGAAGCATCCTTCAGGCTAAATCTCTGCCTGCCGAGTGAAAAGAAAACTCTCACCACTCACATGTTACACAGACCAGGAATACTCTCAGCAGAAGTTTGCAACATAAAGTCCAGCGTTCGGGGACCTTGGAAGCAGCCGCCGGGATTATTATTTCTGCAGGGACATAGAACTGCAGAGCGTAAGTGAAGAAGATTCCGATGGAGTAGAGCAGCTTGACAGACTGGTACAACCTGCAAAAATGAGGCAAGCACCGACCATTAAATCTACTCAGCTTCCTGGTGAAAAACAAAGCAAAAGAAAAACCCCTTCAATCTAAAAAAGAAGAAGAAGAACTGAAGACAGTCCAGCGATGACACTACTTGAGAACTCTTGTGCTCCCTAATCCAGAGACTGCTCGGGGACTTTGGCCCACAGGTAAGGAGGCAAACTAAAAGTCACGCAGTCTTCCTTGCAGAAAGCGAGCGCTAATCCTGAACCAGGGCTTCGGATGTTGCAGAAAGCCGCATGCCCAGATCAAATGGCTTTGTGGACAAGCAAAAGTCACAGACTTCAAAGGAATGCCCTGTGAAAAATTGCCTGTCCTTGATCTGACAACCACTAAAATTCTTGTTCAAAACTACTTACGAGTTCATGGGTTTTGAAAGGCACGGATTCCTGTTTAAAACTGAGCACTCAGTAAGTGATGCAAGAACTTTTGTTTGAAAGCTTTTGTTTTTCACATAGTGAGAAATTTCTGATCTCATCAGAAACCAAACTCCTTATATACCATCATAAGATAGTACAGCCGATAGCTGGTTGCACCACGTTTATAAAATTAAAGGGCAGTACTAACTAAATGTTGTTGAAAGATAAAAGGGTAACTTCAGTGACCACAAGAAAAATAAACAGAATTAATTCCATGGAAGAGAGATCCTACATTTATGTGTGTGTGTGTGTGTGTGTGTGTGTGTGTGTGTGTATATATATATATATATACACACACACACACACACACA